AATTGTACGAGCAAATCGGAAGTTTAGCCATGGGATCGTGTTTGTTTCCAGCTTTAGCTGATAACTTCATGGCTCAATTAGAAGTCCGGCTTTTTCAAGAGTCACTCCTAGTTTTGAAACTATTGGTCAAATATGTGGATGAATACTTTGCTATCTGGCAGCATAGCAAGAAGTGCTTGGAAGACTTCCTTGGGTTAATGAGTAGAGTAGATAGGGCGACTAAATTCACTATGCATTTAGAAACGGACAGTAGGCTACCCTTTTTAAATGTCATGGCTATCAAAACAGAAGACAAACTCGGTAGGAATGTATATATGAAACCCACATTTGCGGGTTTCCTTCTTAATTTCTTCTCTAATCATACTTATGTCATTAAATTATGAGTAATACAATCAATGATAATAAGGAGTTTATGCCTAGAGGACGTAAATCATCGGGAAGAAAAGTCAGAAGGCCTGAGAAAAATCGTATCCGTTAGGATTAAGTGTTGACAATTTAAATCATTCCTTGGATTCCTAATGTTACAATCCTGCATTCTTTCAAGAAAGATAGGTGAATTACTGAGGAAATGGAGCGTCAAGACAATGTATAAGGAAACAATAACGCTTTCCTCTATCATGCCTCCACTGTGCTCATGTGGTAGTGTTTATGTGGGGGAGACTTGTAGACCCATACATAAGAGGCTATCAGAACAAAGAACCACCTGCAAAGGGTCATGGATTCAGAAATCAGAGGTGACTGAATGTATGATGGTAACATTGGTCATCAAGCCTTGATGGCCAAGAACATGTATCACGTATCAGTTCTAGTTACTTTGAGCTATTCTTGCTGGTTTCATACATATTCTAAAACATGCGGGCACATGAACACACGCACATGTTTCGAACTAGAACCAACCAAATCAATCTATATCTCATGAAAGAGTTCAGAATGAGCCAGTGACTTTTCTTGACTCGTTAGCTCGAATACGGTTGTAAGAATGATACCATCAGCTCTGATGATGTCTGTCATACGACGAACGCAATCTTTGCATGTTTTTAATGGAATCAAAGCAGATCGCTTCGGAAACAGCATCAACAAGAATGTTCCCGTAAAAATGAATCCTTCGTCTTTTGATGGGATCTAACTTTAAATCTCTTTACCAAACAAGTTCATTCGAACTGGAAGAGAGCTCAACAAATATACACCAGATGAATCCTCTAAAACCAACTTTTCTTTGTATATATCAGTTTGCTTCATTGATAATCTCATCAAAAAATGTGCTATAGGAGAAGCATGACTTTCATTGAAATGTACGTCCACTCTGTGAACCAGGAGCATTCTTGGTACCATGTCGAAACTGTACACTACACTACCACAAGCCGAGATCTTATAAGACCAATTGAAGCGTGGTTAAAACTACAATCCACTCCAGTCTAGCTGGGATAAGTGCAATTCAATATAAAAAAGAGGCCTACTCATATGATTGTGGGAAAACTGGGATAAATATACTTCTTATTCAACTTAACTCATCTTAAGCGACATAAAATGACTAGAAGAATTGCATATAAAGTTTGTATTTAATAAATGATTGGTCTCTGTATATGATATCGCTACATTCGCATTGACTCGGCTTCTCCTTCTTGTCGTATCTCTATATACAGTTCTGGGAGTCGTCAACTCTGGGATTCTGGTTCACCGAGTTGATAGAACGTACCAGCCAGTTCACCAACTGGCTCGAATCGGGTCGGCCAGTCTGCTTTTGGATGACCGGATTTTTCAATCCTCAAGGCTTTCTAACTGCCATGCGTCAGGAGGTGACTCGACAACATGAGGGCTGGTCCCTTGACAACGTCATACTCTGTTCTCGTATGACACGTTCGAATGCCGACGAATTGCGTGAGCCGCCCAGTGAGGGTGGAGTCTACGTGTACGGTCTGTTTCTAGAGGGCGCTGCTTGGGATCGACGCAGCAATCGGTTGATTGAGCCCAAGCCGAAGATGCTCTACGACACGATGCCAGTGATCAACATATCGGCCACTCAAGATGTCTCCGGCCAGTCCGGTTCATCTGGCGGAGGTGGCGGCGGCGGTGGTGGTGGTGGTGGTGGTGGTGGTGGAGCCACAGCTGGCTCCGCTGGTGGCGGTGGTACCGCAAGTTCCGGCGGTCGAGGCGGACGTCCGGCAGGTGGACAGGTGAAACGAGCCGGTCCGACGGCGTCGGGTGCATCAGGCGGCCAGTCGGGCAGATCGCAGAGAAACTCTGAAGGGAAGTCAGGATTGGCCGGTGGAGTTGCTGGGGCCTCGGGTGGAACCGGCGGTTCTGGAGGTGGCAGCGGCACCGGAGCCGCCGGGGGCGTGGGAGGCGGTTCTGAGACGGGGCCTACAGCTGCCGCCGGCGGTGAGGCTGGTGGGGGAACTGGGGCAAAAGCGAACCGGCGAACTGGGGGGCCGACTGAGGCTGTGAAACAGAGCGAGTCGACACCGAGAAACACTTATTCTTGCCCGATCTACCGGAAGCCAAAGCGCACCGACTTGATGTACGTGGCTAGCGTGGACCTGGGCTGCTCAAAGACACCAGACCATTGGACACTGAGAGGCGTAGCGCTGCTCTGTGACATAAAATAAACCCGTAACTAAGGTGGAATCAACCATAACTGCCAGATTTGACGATCAATTCTCCCTGGATAGATTCACATGTTCACTTGCTCTATTCATTCTACAAAATGTCGATTGTGTAAACCTTTTTGCTTGCACTGTTAGCACCAAAAATACTATTTATCCTCTTCAACGAGCCTTGCCAAGAGAACCAACTCTTCTAGAGTTCACCATCTGCTCTCGGTTGCTTCGGCTATTCACATCTCTGCTCAGTCTCATGAGATTTGATTATGCGTAAAATGTCACATCATCGCAATTACAGCAATTGTCTATTCATCATCTGTATATTAGTATCTCAAATATATGTATGACCGATTGTTTCGCTTTTTATCTTCTAGCGGCGGGAATAGTGGAGCTGCTAACAATATGGCACATTTTGACGGGTCATCACGACGTCTGTGCCTCTTCACTAGATTGACAGTCGTTGTCATGCCTAGAAGTGTCTAAAAAATTTACTTATTTTTTGTATAAAAGTACAGTTTTAAGACTACCAGTTAATCAGTAATATGAGATTTATTCACCCTATTTCGTCTGCTTCATCAAAAATCCCACCAAAGAATGTGATATAGGAGAATGGCCTGACCTTCACTGAAATTCCCATCTGCCCTCTAACCCAATGTGGCACTCGTGGCAGTGTGGCCAAATGGTTAATGTATCAAGCTCACATGCTCCTCTGTCACGGTTCGACTCCCGCTACGGGTGTTGATAAAACTGATGCAAGGTCGAAACTGCAGCCCACTTGTGCCTGGATGAGGACAACTTTTGGGAAAGCTTGGCTATGTGAAATTGAATGGAAACGTCATTTGGGGCAAATTATACTACCAGTCCTTCATCACCTTAAACGAAATTGGGTGAATACATCTCATATTAAAAAATTTACTGCCAATTTCAAAAGATAGGTATATATATATCCCTATTGAGTAGAGTTCGTAAACTACGAGTATATCTGAAATAAGAGTAGTAGTAGTATACCTTAAGTAGTATACGCTGATGAAAAAGGGATAGCTAAATTTTTCTTTATTCAGGTCTCGAGTAGGCCTCCCATTTTTATTGAATTTCTACTTAGCCTTGCTTTCTAAAATGTATTCTCCTCCCTCGTTTCGGATGAAAACGGGCCGTATTTTCGTTCATCATTCGATAGACATCATCAGAGCTGGATTTCATTCCTGTACAAGTCTCAAGTCAACACCCAGTCAAGAAGATTATCTGGCCATATCATACCTCTTATAGAGACTCAAGTAACAAAAAGAAAATTAAAAACCTAGATAGATAGATAGATAGATAGATAGATAGATAGATAGGTATATAGATAGAT